TCCAAGATTCTGTACATATTATTGTTAATTATATCTCAATTGTCTTTTTAAAAAGCACCCAACCAGTAGTCTGGAATTTCTTAGTACTTAATTAAGACGTGGGGAGACTGGGACCCTATTTGTTAGTGGGCATGTAAACTGGTGCAGCAACTTTGGGAAGTGCTCCTCAGAGGTACAGCCGAGTGGAGTACGACTCAGACAGAAAAAGGAGGGCCCTGCTGACACCACAGCGCGGATGAATCTTAGAAGCACGGTGCTAAGTCACAGGCGCCTGAGAACCAGGGGCCACACACAATGACATTCCACTATGTCATGGCCAGGGCAGACACGCCAGAGAAAGGAGCTGGGGTGACTAGAACGCGCCTATCCCGCACTTACCGAGTTTCTCTCAGGGCTGGAGACGTCCTGTTATCGGATGATGGGAACTGATGTAACACAACCATGAGCAAATACTAAAGGTCACAGAATTGCACTTTACAGTGGGTTTAATAAAAAGCTTAAATGTGAAATTAAAACTATCTGAATTGAGGAAGTCGCCTTCATACTAAGCTATCCCTTCGGTAAAGTCAGTCTCACCCAGGGATGCTCTCCTGGGGGACACAGGTGTGCACACACACACACACACACACACACACACACAGCCCACCCCGCCCAAGGCCTATCTGGTAAAACTGGTGGCAAGTTAGCCTGAAAATTTTTTCTTCATTTAGCTTAACAAAGGCAAATGTGCTCCCCGCCCCCCCAACAGCTCTCATTCTTTACAAATTCCAATATGCAAATCGACTTCACTGATGCTCAATTAGGCAAAATTTAACTTCGAGTCTGCACTTCTTATTGACATCCAACTTAAGGCAATAAATGAGCTCCAGGGTTATTACCCTTTTGTAGCTGGGCAACAAGTCTCCAAAAAGGTTCACGTCGCCCGGAACTTGCGTTTGTAACTGAACTGAGAAAAACATTTCCTGCTCGATTTCCTACCACTAGTTATAGCTAACTCTCCATTTGGTTTACTTTGAACGCATACAGCAAATTGCTATTTCCCAAGCTGTCTCAAAACATTAGACGCATTGTAAGCAACAATTCGATGAAATAAATACCACTGTGGCACAGGCGAAACAGCTCGCCTAAAGTCGCACGGCTCCGCGTTTGTGTCGAGAAACGAGGTAAGGCATCCAAGTGCCGCGAACCAGACGTCACTCGGAAGGGCCTGCACGTCCTCGGAGGAGACAACGGGCGGAAGAGGCTCTCCCCGAGCGCCGTCCGCGCCGCGGCGGGCGGGAAGCACCCACTTCCCGCGGCTGCAGAGACCCGGAGGCCCGCAGTGGTGAGGGGCGGAGGGACACGGAGTCCCGGAGGCCTACAGCGGCCGAAGCACGGAAAAACGGCCCGCGGGCGCGCGCGCCCCGCTCCACCCGAATAGGTGGGGACGATGAGGCCGACCCCTTACCTCGTCCAAAGCAGAAGCCATGCTAGGGCAGGTCGGACCGCAGGCCCGCGCAGCAGCAGCTCCGGGGAGACGCCAGGAACGACCGCACCGAGCGCGCTCACCGGGGCGCAGGCAGCGCGGGAACAGGCCGCAGGACCCGCCGCCCTCCCACTCCCGGCCCGCGAGCAAACGCAGC